CCGGTTCAGGAAAGATAGAGAACTGCCCATCAGCACCCCAGTCTTGACCTGCTCTTACAGGGGCAATGTCAACAGTGTCCAGTGGATTCCGAGGTCTGCGGGTAAAGGGAGAGGGGCATATTCTGGGAGTGATTTGGGGTGAGCCCAGTGGCTGGTGCCATGGGCTGCTCCACCCAGAGCCACCAGGTCTTCAAGGGGCGCCTGTGATGGCACAGGAATGAGGACCCTGCTTTCTGCCTCTTCAGTATTTCTGGCTGAGACAACAAACAGTCCTTCACAAATGTCATGTTTCTGGGGGTGGTGTGGAGGACCTGCTGACTCCCGGGTGGGCTAAATGACAACTGAGGCTCCTGCAGCCCCTCGTCCTGGGAAACAGTGACAGCAACAGTTAACTGCAGTGGGTGGCAGATCAGCTGACTGGAACTGGCTTTCCACAGCACTCCCTTCCTGTTTTCTGGTCAGAATTGCACAGCAAGGCCCAAACCTCAAAACAACACAACTTCTCCTTTTGGGGAGCCGAGGAAAATTCCTGAACGCTACAGGCTGTGCCGATCTTCGGCCTTTCATGGCCCAGGCCAGGTGACAGAGGAGATCTTTCATGAAGTTGTGAGAGGTGGCATGAGTGGAGGGCACAAGCTCAGGCTGGGTTCAAAGCCTGGTATGGCTGTGGCTGTCTGCAGTGTGGCCTGAGGAATCCACCGGTAATGGGCTGACTTGAAGCCCCAGAAAGATATATCCAAGTCCTCACCCCTGGGACCTATGACCATGACATTATTTGGAACCAGGGTCTTCGCAGGGGTAATTAAGATAAGGATCCCGAGATGAGGTCATCCTGGATTTAGAGTGAACCTCAAGTCCAATGACAAGCGTCCTTATAAGAGAAAGGAGGGGAGATGACACACACAGAAGCACCCTCAGAGGGCAGGCCATGTGATGATGGAGGCAGAGACTGAAGTTATGTGGTCACAAGCCAAGCAACGTCAAGGACTGCTGGAGCCACCAGAAGCTAGCAGAGAGGCCCAGGACAGACTGTCCCATAAAGCCTCCAGAGGGAGCACAGCCCTGCTGCCACTGATTTAGGACTTCTGGCCTCCAGAGCTGTGAGAGAATAAAGTCCTGTTTGCTTTAAACCACCCAGTTTGTGGGACTTTGTTAAGACTGACTCAGGAAACTCGCACATTAATGTGTTTCTCTGAGACTTGGTTTTCCCATCTTTAAAATAGGCAGAGGTGTGGTAAGAACCCAGAGAAATGATGGATGAAAACCGGGAAGTCCAAACCTGACAACCAGTGGGCCCAAAGGCGCGAAAACTAACTGTTCCTGTTATTAGAAAACAACTCTTAGGTTAGGTCAGAATGGTTAGAACTTATGGACAATCTCTAAATGCTCAGCACCTGAAATGAACAGTGACTGGGTCCTATGGGACGACTCGAAGGTGGCAGTGCAATTCTGTCTTCAGGGGACATCGGCAATGTCTGGGGACATTTTTGGTTGTCACACCTCAGAAGCGGGTGCTCCTGGCATCTGGTGGGTGGAGGCCAGGGATGCTCCTCTACACCTCTGATGCACAGGACAGCCCCACCCTGGCGGGTTACGTAGCCCCAGACATCAGCAGGCCGAGGTGGAGAGAAAACCGGCTCTGAGCTAAGACAACCTATCCCTTTGCAAACAGTCGCCCCAGGAAGCACGTTTACTGCCATGACGTGGGTTTGGCTTAAGCCCATTTTGGAAGCCGGTGTGGGCACCACCCTCGAGCAGATTATAAATGCTGGGGAAAATTGGCCTTGCTGGCTCACACTGCTGAGGCCCAAACGAGGCAGCCTGGCGCGATGAGGCATCTGACTCATGAGGGTGAATAATGGTCATCGACGGAATCCAGGAGAATGTGCCAGAATCTCTAAGGGCCACAGGAGTGGAGGCTGGCAGGAGCTTCTCTAGCAGCAGGGGAGGAATGATGGGCCCCAGGGTGCCTGCTGAGCTGGGGAGCTTCTCCTCTATGGGGGCTGACTTGTGTTTCCCCAAAAGTTATGTCTGCATCACCCCCGGAGCCTATGAACATGACTTTATTTGGAAATGGGGTCTCTGCAGCTGTAATTAGTTAAGATGAGGTCATATTGCAGTAGGATGGGCCTGAAATACAATGAGGAGCATGGCGTCCTTACTATACAAAGGCCAGGTAAAGACACAAACAGGAGGAACACTGTGACAACCGAGGCAGAGCCTGGAGTGATGTGGCCACAAGCCAAGGAACACTGGGAGCCACCAGAAGCTTGAGAAGGCCAGGATGGATCCTCCCCTAGAGCCTCCAGAGGGAGTATGGCCCTGTAGACGCCTTGATTTTAGACTTCTGGCCTCCAGAACTGAGAGAGAATATATTCCTGTTGTCTGAAGCCCCCCAGTCTGCGGTACTCCTGCCTCTACACTGGCTATGCCTCCTGCCCGGATGGACCTCTCACCTCCTGGCCCCTCCACCTAGCCCACCTGCTGTTCTCATTGCTCTTAGCATTCACGTACCAGCCTTGCTGCTGGTTTTACTGTCTGCCCCTGCATCACCGGGGTGACAGCTCCACGTGGGCAGGCCTTTGTGTGGATTCTGGCCACCGCACCACCCTGAGCTTAGATCAGCACCGTGCGATGAATGGATTGCTGGACAGTCAGGCTAACACCGTGGGGTGATCTACACTCAGAAGGAAAACGTACACCCTGTGGCCAGACCACTCAGAAGTTTTTAATAAGTTGATGCAAAACATGACAATGAATCTTTATATTCATATTACTTGTACAGGTGGAAACAGAAACAAGCTACACATTTAGTCACAGGTCTAAGCTATATGACCCTAGTTAATTTCTTGCTGATGACATTCATGAAGAGGAACTGGAATGCATTCTGCAACCACTGCCTAGGTGTGATTCCAGTGACTTTGCATGGTAGGCTTCAGCTTGGAGGAGACTGGGAAAATTTTTGGTCAGAGGTCAATGCTCTAGGGAGGGTGGGGCCACCCCACACTCAAACCCCTCCCTCCACCAATGGGGAGGGTGTCTCAGGATCTTGTGGATGAACAAACTGTGGTATATGCATATAATGGAATACTATTCAGCAATAAGAAAAGAGCTCTCAAGCCATGAAAGACATGGAGGAAACTTAGATGCATATTGCTAGGTGAAAAAAGCCGATGTGAAAAGGCTACACTGTGAGATTCCAACTATAGGACATCGTGGAAAAGTCAAAACTATAGACCGTGAAAAGACCAGTGGTTGCCAGAGGCTCGGGGGAGGGAGGGATGAATAGGCAGAGCACAGGGGATCTCTAGAGCAGAGAAACTACTCTGTCCAATACTACGAGGTGGGATACACATCTTACACATGTGTATAAATCCAGAGAATGTACGACACCAACAGCAAACCCTAATATAAACTATGGACCTTAGTTATTAACAACATGAGGGTACTTCAAAAAGTTCATGGAAAAATAGAATTAAAAGGTAATACGAATCTTTCCATGACTTTTTAAGTACGCTCATATGTCAACTTCGGCTTAAATCAATTGTAACAAATACAGCAGGCTAATAATGCAAGATACAAAGGGGAGGGAAATTGTGGGAGACAGGAGGGCGCACGCAGAAACTCTGAACTGTCTGCTCAGTATCACTATAAACCTAAAATGATGTAAAAAATAAAGCCAGTTAAAAAAAAAAAAAAGTAGAACCCTGGGCCCTCAAGGCTGCAGACCCCTGAGCCCACACATTGCCCTTGCCCCTCACTAGGCAACGATTGTCATGTTGTGTTCTGAGACTCATGGATGCATCTTCTCCTAAGACTCCTAGAGTGAGGGACGCTGTGTTGTCATATCCGCCACCCTGTGTCCAGACCTATGTCCAGACCTGCAGCCAGAAGCCTCACCCCCAGCAACACATTGATGGCTCCCACGGGGCTTGGCCAACAAGGACATCAGACAGCAAACAGCTCTGCCAGGCAGTCCCCTCCCCTCGTCCACCCTATAGCATCATCTCACCAGACCCCCCTGGGGGTCTGCTGTTTGCCTTGCAGTCTTCCATCTACCTCGCCACCCCTCCCAGAAACACGTCGTTGTGAAGTACCCCTCGAACCATCCAATTAGAGCACAGCAGCCTTTTCTTTCTGGGACCTGGAGGACAGCTGTCTGTCCTCCAGATGTCAAGGGTGTATGAACCAGACCTTTTTATTTTCTGTATTTCTATTTTTTTTTTCCTTTTTGTCTTTTTTCATGACCGGTAACGGGATTGCAACCCTCGGTGTCACGCCCATACCGCGACTGGCAACGGGATCGCAACCCTTGGTGTCGTGCCCGCACCGCGCTCAACCAGTGAGCGGACCGGTCTCTATATGGGATCTGAACCCTTGGCGGGAGCGCCGCTGCACTCCCAAGCGCCACACTCTACCAAGTGTGCCACCGGGCCGGCCCTATTTTCTGTATTTCTGATGCTCTGATATCTGGGGCCTGGCTGACCCTAGAGGGGCAGCCCCACCCAGGGCTAGCCAATTCCTAGAGACAGTCAAGGGTTTGCCTGTGGGAGCGCATTCCCTGTGCAAATCACCCAATCCAGAGCCCACACCCACCCACCTGTTCTATCCAGCCTTTACACTCCAGGCCACTATCCACCTGCCCTGATCACCCCACACCCCCGGCTCCAGATAACCAGGGGCAACTCCTACCCCCAGAGCTTGCTGAAATGATTCAAGCCAGCCAATCCTAAGCCAGCTTACCCTTCCTTCCAGGGAAAGCCACAAGCAAGGCTCCTGCCTGCATCCCCCTCTCTCACTGCCTCTTGACCCAGCCTGGTGCTTTCCCGTGTGGCCCTGCCGTGGCGTCATTCCCCCTCCTCCTGGGACCTGTCAGTGATAAACTTTTTCTCCAAGGGCAGCTGTCTCCTGACCTGTTGGCCTCACTCTACCTGAACAACAACAATAAAACCCATACTTTCAGAGTGAAGGTCCCCTGCCCACCGCCAGGCTCAGCTCACCTCCAGCACGGGGCCAGCGCCCAGGATGGTCCTCTCGACACCACTGGCATACCCCTTCTGGCTGAGGGCTGTGAGGCAGTGGATCAGGAAGTTGGTGCTCTGCGTCTTGCCGGAGCCGCTCTCGCCCGAGATCACGATGCACTGGTTGACGTGCTTCCTGAGCATGGCGTAGTAGGCCACGTCAGCCAGCGCGAAGACGTGCGGCTCCAGCTTGCCCAGCTGCTGGTTCTCGTACATCTTCACGTACTTGGGGTTGTAGATGGGGAGGAATTTGAAGGGGTTGATGGCCACCAGGATGCTCCCTGCGTACGTGTAGATCTTCCGCTGCAGGAAGCGGTGCTTGAGGTTCTTCAGGAGGTTGTCCTCAGTCAGCTCAGGGAGGTTGCACAGGTCGTCAAAATCCGCTTGCTGCCGCGGCAGGAGGCCACGCTCCACCAGGCGCCGGGTGGCAGTGGCCTGGGTCACCAGCTGCATGTGCATGTACTTGATGGTCCCATCGGCGTTGCGCTCCTGCAGCAGGAAGTAGTAGCCATCCTCCTGTGGGTGCTCGTCCTGTGCCCGCCGGGGCCAAAGCAGCACGCGGTGCACGGGTGAGTCGTTGGCGTCCAGCACCCATTCCTCGCCGCCTGACTCCTTGACCTCCACCAGCACGTAGCACTTGGTGCCATCGAGCCGCAGGCTGGTGATGGCATCCTTGATGACATCGGACGTTGTGCTGTCCTTGGTGGCGATCACGCGGCAGGAGGCCTGGCTCTCGGTGGTGGACAGCCGGGGGTAGATGTGCAGGTGGTAGGCTGCCTGCTCCCGGTGGCCGGAGCTGCCCGCTTCGTGCAAACTCATCCTGCCGGCTGCCCGGCTTCAGCATGCCTCCCGGGCTCGGGGCACGCGTCCTGGAGCTGGAAGGCAGGGCAGAGATGGGCACAGTCAGAGTGGCAGGCGGGAGAGGAGTGGTGAAGGGGGATGCTGATGCCCACCCCGGAAAAGACAGCACTGGACTCTTGGCTGGAAACCCCTGTCCCTGACCAGGCTGGAATCAAGCAGCTGCAGCTCCCCAGGGAAGGTGGAAGAGCCCCTGTATGTCCTTAAATGTGACCTCTGACCCGAGGATTATGGCTCGTATGAGTGACATTGCCAGATACCTCCAAGACAAACCCTCCACCTGGGCTTCTTCCATCCAAAGCCCTGTCCCACCTGGCCCAGAGTCAGCCTCTCAACCCTCCCGTGCAAAGGCCATGACCATATCTCAGCTAAGCCCTTCCTAGCCCACATCCTTCCTGGCTTCATGTCTCTGATAAACCTCCCCCAGCAGCTCCCCAAGCGGAGGAAGATGCAGCCCACAGGCCTTGGTTATGTCTTTGCCACACAGTAAGCAGGACTGAACCTGCTCTGAAACCCAGGGTCCCCGAAGCCCAGCCAAGAAGGATGACGTCAGGGTAAGTCACCAGACACTCGCTCAGGAGAACGGCTCAGAGTGCACTTGCTTGTAGAACCCATGACTCCAGTCTACTGGGGAGAAGAACATCAGCTGGGCCCAGACTGGGGGCAACCTGCGGGACAACTGGCCAATTCTCCCAAGACTGCCAAGGTCATGAGCAACTGGGAAAGACTGAGGGAGCCTGTCCCAGACTGGAGCAGTCTCTATGTGCAATGGGGTACCCTGGATGCAATCCTCGACCAGAGAGAGGACATGAGTGGAAGAGGTGGCGACATCTGAATAACGTCAGGAGGTTGGTTCATTGCAATGTACTGATGCCGATTTCTCAGTTGTGACAAATGTGCCCTGATAATGTAAGGCGTTCCTATTTAGAAAAACTTAGTGAGGGGCATAGGGGATCTTCTGCACTATCTTTGTAATTTTTCTCTAAATCTCAAATTATTCCAACAGAAATAAGTTTATTTAAGAAAAAAAAATCGCATTTGCTACTGAAAGTTGCAGGAAAAAGAAATGAGGGCTGATGCTGGTGACAGCCCAGCTGGCATGTTGGAGCAAGAGGCACAAATGCAGCGTGGGTCATGTGTGCGGGCCACCAGAGGATGGCTGAGGGTCTGAAGACGAATCAGACCTTGGCTCAAAGCCCAGCAGGAGAGGCTGGTGTGCAAACAGACTATCAGGTGTAGTAGTAAATGATGCACACTGAGTGATTATCCTGGAGGGCCAGAGAAGCCTTCAGGGGAGTGGTAACATCTAAGAGGGGTTCTGAAGGATGAAGAGGAGTTCGTTCACCAGGCAGGCAAAAGGAGGGAGGAGGGCATGGTGGGCCCACCACCTGTTTTTGTGAATAAAGTTTTATTGGGAGGGAGCCTTGCCCACTCATTTATATACTGTCTGTGGCTGCTTTTGCTATGAAAGCAGAGTGGAATAATTACGGCAGAGACTGTAACTTGAAGGCCTAGAAAGCCTACAATACTTATTGTCCAGCTTTACAGAAAAGGTTTGCTGACCCCTGCCCTAGCCAGAAGCATGACTCAGTATCACAGGCGTGAGGGGCCGGGGCCACCCCAGGCAGAGATGATTCAGGCTCTGGGAGGATGAGTTCTGCAGAAGTGTTAGGAAAGCATAGGAGGGATGAGGCCAAAAGAAACCATCAAGTATGAGGTCACAGCAATAGTTCACATGGGGTAGGTAGTGATAATAGGTAAGAAAGTCGGGGGAGATGGGATGTTTAATTTTTAAAACTGTCCCCCAAATTATCAAGCCACTGTAGTATATTTCTTTCCAGTTGAATAGATATAGGCTATATATGTGCTCTGATAAAATTTAGGTCATACTATATACTAGTTGTAGATCCTAATTCTTTCCTTGATACATTAGTACATGTGACCATTTCTGAGCCAAGAAATAGGCTTTGATAGTGTGGTTTCCAACGATGGTCCTTGGATACATATCTTTGCGGGCATCTCTGAGCATTTCCTCAGGATCAACTCTTCCATGCGGAATTAGATAAATGGATATGAACATTGCTGTCTCTTGATTCGAAGAATCACATTACCCCTCACAGAAACTGTCTGAAATGAGGTAGTTCATGCACTTTCGAAGACACTTTGGCAGTTTCTTTAAACACTAAATATATACCCAGCAGTGACCCAGCAATTCCACTCCCAGGAGTTATCTAGAGAAATGAAGCACATGTCCATACAGAGACTTGTACACAAATGTTCACAGCAGCGTTATTTCTAAGAGCTCCTAACTGGAAACCTCCACAATATCCAGCCATCAGTGAAGGGATAAAGAAACTGGATGCACAGTGGAAAACCACTCAGCAATGAGAAGAAACCAATCTCTGATACTCACACGGAACAAACTCAATATCATTGTGCTGAGTGAAGGAAGCTGACAAAAGAGTACATACCGACCCAGCAATTCTGCTCCTAGGTATATGCCCCAAGAACTGAAAACAGGGGCTCAAATCGTTGTACACCAACATTCACAGCAGCACAATTCATAATTGCCAGGAGGTGGAAACAACCCAAATGTCCATCAGCAGATGAATGATAAACAAAACGTGGTCCATCCATACAATGGAATATTATTCAGCCATAAAAGAAAGAATGGCATACTGATCCATGCTACAGGTGGACGAACCTTGAGAACATCATGCTGAGTTAAAAGAAACCAGACACAAGGACACATTGTATGATTCCATTTACATGAAATGTCCAGAACAGGCAAATCCAGAGACAGACAGCAGATAGTGGTTGACTGGCTGGGAGAGGGGGAGGGGGAGTGGGGAGCGACTGCTGATGGGGACCAGGGTTTCCTTTTAGGGGGATGAAAATGCTCTGAAATCAGATAGAGCTGGTGGTTGAACAACATAATGAATATACAAAGGGCCACTGAATTGTGCACTTTAAAATGGTGAGTTTTATGTTATGTGATTTCACATCAATACAATTTTTGGAAGAGTCCATATATAAAATGCAAACTAATCTATAAACACGAAAATGCAAACTAACCAATAAACACAGAAAGAGAATCAGTGGCTGCTTGGGAGCGGGGAGGGATGACAATAGGCCGGGGGGACTTTTCAGGTGATGGGTGTGTTTGCTGCGTCAGTCGTGGTGGGGGGTATGTGGCTGTCTGTATATGCCGTAACCCCGCAAAACACACACTCTCAGTAAGTGTACTTTACTATGCACTAATAACACCTCAATGAAATCGTTTATAAGGCTGGGGTTATGAAAGGACCTGTTTCCCCAGGAGTTGACCCTTTTGAAACTTCCTGCTCTATTTTCTACGTTTCACCCTTTGGGTCCAGGCACAGAGTTCGTCGGACGCCAGAGCAAGCACACGGCTGATTGGCGTCAGGAGTTCGGAAGGGCCAGGTGGCACTGCTCACCTGGCCATCCCAGGACAGGACCAGAGTTTATCACAGAACCTTTCTGGACAGCACCACACCACCACAGAAGGCGGGCAGAGGGTCATGTGCTTTCGAGACAGGTGAGGAATCATAGATATGTGCCTTAATCATAGCCACACGAACGCCCGTACATGTGCGCACACAACACTCATACAAACACACCCACACTTGTGCACGTTTTCACACAGCACAAAGACACACGTGTGCATACGAACACACAGCCACACACCTGCTTGTACACACGCCCACATGCTTGTGTGCACACACGCACACAAGGCATGAACAGACATGTGCCCAAGTGTGCACACACAGACATGCGTGGGCACAAGTGTGCACATCACACACATGCTGGCACACTAAACCCGCGTATATGTACACACACACACCCACACGCACAGAGCTGGGCTTCAGGCAGAGTGGGCCTCTCCTGTGACTCGGCACTTGTGGCTTCTAGGGGCTCAGTCCAGCTCTCAGCTCACAGGTCCTGGACTGTCTTACGCCTGCACAGACAGCGGGAAGATCTCACGAATGCACCTACTTCCTCCTTCCAAGTAGAGACCAACTCTGAGCAAGAAGCCAGTAGAGCCCAAGGATGGGACCTTTCTTCTGCTTCCTGCAGCCTCAGCCACCTGCCCTAACCAGGGGCTGGCTGACACTCGCTCATCGGGTGCAGGGCCAGCTGTGGTCTGGGCCACTGAGCAAGCATTAGGCGCCCTCTGAGCCCTGCTGGGAACAGAGGCCTGTGGAGGTATCTGCAGCTCTTGGCCCCTTGGTGGGAGAAGCAGAATGACAAATGCTCAGGAAACCCCACTCTCAGAGACCAGGGGCCGTGGGGATGGGCACAGAACCAGCCCATGCATGCCCAGCCCCCAGGTCAGGAGGAAGTAGACAAGGCTTGCTCAAGGTGCTGCTGGCCGGCCTGGCTGCAGGGAGGGAGGCGACCAGCGGTATGGGGCAGAAGCCAGCTGGGGCCACCTGCAGGAGTCCCTGCAGGGGCTCACCTGATTGGCCCAGCTACAGCTGCCCACCTAAGCTCATGACATCCAGGAAAATTCTTCCATGTGGACCTGCCTGGAGGGCTCTACCTGGTCCTCCTCTCCAGGTAGCCTGCACTTGCCTCCAAGACTCCAGAGAAGGGGGCTGCCAAGGGCTTCCCTGAGCTTCTCCCATTCCGAGTATGAAGCCCAGATTGAACCAGGGGGTGGAGGTGGGACCCTCCTGCCAACAGCTTAAGTGCCCCCTGACTTAAAACCACACACAGAAAAATCCTCTCGCTCCACCCCCAGCCCAGGGAGGAATCCCTGCCCAACCTGGAGCCTTCCTTTGCCAGCTCCCACCCTCCCTGCAAACCACTGCATCCTCCACAGTGTGGAAAGCACCACCCCTCCGACAAGAGGCTGCCGCAACTGAGCTCCTGCTGGTCACAACTGCTGGCTGGACGCCTCCTCTGGCCACACTGGTCCTGCTCACAGGCTCTGCTGCCCTGGAGTCGGCAGTGTCACCTGTACCTGCCCCTGTGCAGGGGCCCTTCCTGCCCT